GCTATCACTGCGCACAAGGAACGGGGAAGTTTTCTGGCGGGACGAGCGGCGCCTGTCGCTGAAGGCCACTGAACACGCTAATACACGTCCCCCAGTATCACTACCGGTGTCCCTTGGCGCCGGTAAGGGGGCGTTTCATTATACTTAGTGAGAAAAGTGGTGTCATTAAGGGCCCAGGATTCATTCCACGGCATTGCGGCCCATGGAATGCCAGCGCTTGCCAATTGTGGGCTATGTGCGCAGTACCAACAGTCCGACTTGTTACCTGCTAGTGCCACCAATTGCATCCACTGGACGGCCGAGCTGTGGTGCCATGTGGCTTGGGCACCTGTGCAGCTAAAATCAGTTTGAGGATTATTCCGTAGTGAACATGCCGTAGGGCCGTCGCTGGTGTCGGCCTTCGGGTGGCGCAACCAGGATGCTCCACAGACCCGCCCAAACTGTAGTGCGGCGGTTATGGTTGCCTGGAAGAAAGACGCTTAGCGGTCACATAAGTTGGGGCGTCTTCCCTTTTAGCAGTACGAGGTGAGTGTCCCCAGGACCATCAGCTAGGATTTCCCCTTCGAGTGGGTTATGTTTGGGGGGTTGTGGACCCAAATGGCACGTCCAGTCGAGCCGAACCCTCCCACTCAAGTGGTGGGTGCAAGCGCATCCACCTCCTGGACATCAGGCAACCCAATACGCTCGCAAATCAACTGTGCAATACGTTCACCTTGGGGGAGGGTTACTGCCTGTGGGCCATTGTGAACCAGCAGCACCTTAACCTCCCTGGTATAGTAAGCTCCCTTGAAGAGGGACTCCCTTAAGGGCCAGACTGCTGTGTGGGGCAATGCGCCCATAATAGCCTTGCGGGAGCCCTATGGCTAAGCCAGTACTTACAAGGTTCCGGCTATTGGGCTGGAGAGTGAGGCCCTCTTGAGGGACCCGCAGATCGATACCAGCACTTCTCGGGGTGGCCTGAATGGGGAGGTGGGCTTGCGGGTGCAGGCGCTGCACTCGCAACACAGGGGGCTGCTCAATGACCTCCCCCTTGAATCTAGTGTACGGGGTTGAGCCGTACAGAGGGTGGTCATTGAGCGCAGCCATGGCCTGGCGGAGATTACAGCTCAACCCGGCCAGGCTGGGGGCAGCTACTACATATACTGTGACTATGTCATCTACCTCTCTGTTGAACTGGGACTCCTCTGATTCCCCTGTCAGGTGGGCCTCTACATGATGAACAGCAATGGGCCTCTGGCTACAGGCATCCCAAATGGCAGGCCACATGTCGTAACCCCAAAGGGGTTTGTCATGCACCTTCCAGCCAGCCACATTCCAGACGGCCATCCACTGTGTCATGCCTTTGTAGACTGCCCAGATATCCGTATGCAGATAAAGGGGCCCTTTGTTCTCTGTGACGGTCATGAATGCTGCCCATAGCTCAGCCCACTGGCTAGACAGGCCAGGGCTGGTTTCGAACAGTATTTTCTCAAGGCAGGGATTATATGCGGCCGCTCACCACCATCATTCTGCCCCCCTGTACAAGGCCGATCTATCAGTAAACCACGCAAGCTCTCATTGTTGTTTGGTTAAGGAGGCATGGGGAGGGGCCTCCGTAGAGGGGGGTTGAGGCACTTCAACCAGGGGGGCATAAGTGTGCTGGCCCCCGGAGGGCAGTTCCTTGAAGGTGACAGCACCCAAAAGCTGCGCGTGCGCATCGGTAATGCTTGCCTGGGTCATCTGCATACGCAGCTGCAGGTAGTGTTTCCACTTTCATAGGGTCTGAGTCTGGGCTACCCCAGTCTGTGTGAGCAGGCTTTCGTCCCGGACCCAACCCATAATCGGAAGTGGGGTACACACTTTTACAGGCTCTGCACCTGTTATGGGCTCAGTTTGCTGCAGGGCCTACATTACTGCAAGCAGCTGCTGTTCAAGGGGTGTATAACGCTCAGCCGAGCCTCGCAGGGATCGCGACCAATACCCTATGGGCTCCTTTCAAGATGAACCTTGCTGCCACAGCCCCCATGAGGCCACGTGGTCAACCATCGTTACCTCGAGTTCGAAGGGGGTGCCTCATCTGCCTGGGCTCAGCACTGCGTGTTGGCTGAGCGCCTCTTTAGCCTGCTGGATTGCGGCATGCTGCTTGGCTCCCCAACTAAACGTGGCTTTCTTCCAGACTATTGCTTGTATGGGCTGCAAGATGTACCCTAGATGGGAAATAAATGTGCGCCAATACCCAAGGAGGCCCAGGAAAGTTTGGACTTGGCTTACGCTAGTGGGGTCTGGGAAGTGGGTAATTGTTTCGATGGCTTTTTGTGGGATCTTACGTTGAGGTCCCGACCAAAGTATTCCCAAGAAGATCACCTCCTGGCTGGGCCTCTGGATTTTACTAGGGTTGACAGCCCATCCCCTGGCTGCCAGAGCCTGCAACACATTGTTCTTGGCCTCGGAGAGTGCCGCCTCATGGGGCCCACTCAGCAGGACATCGTCAATGTAGTGCTCTAGTACCACTCCCTCTGGAAGAGTCACCTGCTCCAGGTCTCGACTAACCAACTGGTAGCAGATGGTAGGGCTATGCTTGTAGCCCTGAGACAGCACAGTGAATGTGTACTGCTGATCCTCCCATGTAAAGGCAAATTGATTCTGGCTCTGTGGGGCAATGGCAATGGAGAGGAAGGCATTTGCCAAGTCCACCACGACATGCCACTGCCCTACCCGCATCGCAAGGCGCTCCATGATGGAGACCATGTCGGGAACTGCCACTGTCAGGCTTGGGGTGACCCTATTCAGGTTGCGATAGTCTACTGTCATGCACCAGGTTCTGTCCTTTTTATGGATTGGCCAAATTGGGCTGTTAAATGTGCTCATGGCAGGGCGAATGATGTCCGCCTGGAGCAGACCTTTAACAGTAGCAGTTATTTCCTTGTGCCCACCAGGTATCCGTTACTGTTTGGTATTGACCACTGTGGTGGGGGTTGGAAGCACCATGGGGTCCCACCGCGGATACCCCTGCAGCATGGTTACAACCGCTCGGACATACAGCAGGCGCCCAAAGGAAAAGGATCTCCATTGGGTATCTATGGTCTGCCCTCGGAGGAGGTCTATACCCAATATATATTCATGAATGGGGGCGATTAAAACAGTGATTCGTATGGGGGGGGCCTTCCCGATGGCCAGCTGTAACTGCATCAGCGTGGCCCGAACGTCCACCCCTCCGAGGCCACTCACCATTACCGACTGGCCCCGACGTTACCGACTGCCATGCAATACAGTCACCTCTGCTCCTGTGTCCACAAGGGCCATTACTCGTCGTCCCCCGCTAGGCCAGTAGATCTCTACTGGGACCTAAGGGCGGTGGTCCCCCACTACATAGCGCCTTACCTCTAGGGCGGGGGGTGAGGGGGACCCACCACCCTGTCAATACTGGGCGGGCAGCTTCCATTCAATATAGTCTTCCGGCAGGGCAGATGGTTGGGGCTGCTGCAGGGTGCCATCTACCTTGTTTTGGGGCCCCCCCCTGTAGTCGGGGCCCCTACCCTCTCCTTGGTACACTGTTCCGGGTTAAGCTGCAACCACCATTTTAACAGCTCAGCATTGGTTTTCCCAGCCACTTCCCCCAGGGGAATCCCTGCTTTCAGTAGGTCTTTAAACATAGTATTACGGCTAACCCCCTCCTTTTGCTTCACATTCACCTGCCGCAGCTTTGTGGTTTTCGTCATACTGTCAATTTCCGTTAATTGCATCATGAGCTGCACCGCATCCCCCACCAACCCTACGGCCCCCCCCAACCATCGACAGGATCATCGCCTTGAGGTTGGGGGGGGGCATTCCGCAGAAGCCAGGTGTGGATGGTACGGGTCAGCTCCACAACATCAGGCCCTTGGAAGTGCTCAGCAAAGATGCCGGTGAGCATGCCCAGCTGCGGAGCTGGCTACCCCCTCTGGGATGGAGGCCCAGTGTTCCAACCCATCATCCATGTCTGCGGGCAAGCTCCAGATGGTTTTGACAGCCATGGTTAACCATGCCATGTGAGAGGGATACAGATAATTCGCCTCCGAGTTGGCCCCTATCTTGAGACTCCTATGAAGGAGGGGGTCTGTGGTGAGCGAGCCCATCCTGCCTAGCTCAGCGGGGGTAAGGGTAATCGCATCCGTTCCATCGTCCCACAACCGTAGCAGCCAGGCCAGCAGCGATTGCTTGGGATGCTGCTTGAAATGCTGCACGAAATCCTGTATCTCGGAGGATTTATATTCCCGGATAAAATCCCTTCCTACCATTTGATTGTTCTCCCCATGCGGTTCCTTGTATCATGTCTCGACAACGGGTCGCAGTTGTGGGTACAGTCCCGCCTTCCCGGCATCCCCCTCCCCAGGGGACTCGTCCTTGCTTGTCTCCCAAATGTCCCCATCCCAGGTCTCTGGATCCCAGTCGCTTTTGCGTACCAGTATGCGTGCGGCAAGGGGACGCACGTCTTGCCGTCCTCCCTTTCGCCGCCAGCGGTTCGCAATGCGAGCCGCCATAACCGCGCAGCGGTGCTCTAACCTATCAGCCCGTTTGGCCGTACTAGTAATGACTTCTTGGGTTAGTGAACAGGCCTCATTTGCTTGCTGCAAATCAGCCTCTAATCTTCCCATCCTCTGGCGCTGAATCAGCAGTGCCTTGTCCACTGCGTGGAGCACGGTCAGGAAGACCCATCCCAGGTCTCCTGCCGCTTTTCGCTCTGCGGGTCCTACTTTGTCCAGCCGGAGCTTGGATATCAGTTCCTCCAGCCTGACTGGGGTAACCCCAGCTCCTGCTCTCGCTGCGGCCATGCGGCAGGGGCAACCAACCCCACCAGCTTGCGTGCCACCAGTGCCCACCGTCCTGTGGAGAGCCACCAGGGGATGTAGCTCTCTACCTCCCCCTTATCCTTCCTTCCCCAAAGAGGCATCCCTCTGCTGGTATCCTGTTTGTGAAATCAATTGTGCCCGCCAGAGCTGGGGGGGGGAGATACCAGCGAAAGGAGGACACTCAGGCCTAAGAATAGTAAACTATGCTTTATTGAAGGAAGGAAGAACTAACGCTCCAATCTGCACGGGGAGCCCCTAGGTCACACGGAGGAGCTGCAGGGGACTCTGGCCGTTCGGGACAGCTGACCAGGCAGGACTCTGCCGGAGGGGAGTCCTCTGCAGCGCTATATTCTCCGCGCTTATCTCGGGGTTACATGGGGTCAACAGCTGGTTACATTCTTATATATATATAATTTATGCTTATTACATAAACTGACTCGTTTACAGACAAAAATATGCTGAGCTATACTACAATGTCTTTTGGCAGGGTCTGTCAGACAAAGTTCATTGAAACTGCCTGCATCCTCCGTTTACATCCAGTCACATACTCAATGCACCACTTAGCTCCTCGCCAATCTTCCGCAACCTTGCTCCTACAAACCAGTTGATCTGTTTCACCAGCTTCCACTGAGGTTAGAGTTTTTTAATTGTTTTGACTCATTTGTTTGTCTGGGGGATAGGATGTTGCACCAAGAGGTCAAGTAGCTATGGATTCTAAGCTACCCTAATGCTCTATGGTTAAAAGATCATCTCAAATGGACTGCGGCTGTCTGAATTCTTATTATTATTCCTGCCTCCTCACACGTGCATGCATCTTAATGGTCCTTTGCCAAGAGCAGCAGGTTTGTGGCTTGCTTCATAGCTTATGCTAATACCCTGCCTGTTGATCAGTTAGCTTTCAGGGTTCACTGTGAATTTTTAAACTATTTTATGTCACACTGAAGTAGCCATGAAATTTCCTAAATACAAGTTCAAAAGGCATTGGAAACTGAAATGCAGCTTTCAAGCAGATTCAAAAGTAGCTGCCATGGACAAGTACGGGAGACTTGCTACCAGGCTTTTGGATGATCCTAGGAAGAGATGACCAGAATCCAGAGGGCTGCTTTCCCCACTCCACTATGGAACCAGGATGAGCCCTCCACCAGCCTCCAGTGCACCTCACCCCATAGAAGTCTAGGGAGTGATGACCCACAAGCCTAGTCCCCCAGAACCATCACGGGTAAGTGGTCTGTCTTGCTAGGCCACTTCTTCTCCTGTCTAGATGGAGGGATCCAGTGGTGATAGGCATGTTGGGGTACTACACGCTCACTGAATGGATGGAAGTGTCTTGTGCTCCCAGAATATAACATGAGTGTAAGCTCACTGTGACTGTGTGTGATGGTAGGAAGTGAAACTGACTACACAAAGCAATGTCAAATGCTAGCTGTAAATAAATGCCTGAAGTTTTTTGTTTTTTTTGTCTAAACTTTCCTTTTGGGTTAGGCCTCTCAGGCAGTTAAAAATAAACGAACAAAACAAAAAGCTTGGCCTCTTCCCCACAGAACTAATGTGATCTAAATATAAACCAGGGATGATATAGAGGGGAGTGGGCGGAAGGATAGGAGGAAACTGGTTACAGTAACAGGCTTATGGTGGTTGTGGTTAGTAACGCATCCTCTTATTATTTATAATGTAATGTAAGTAGAAGGAAATAAATGTAAGTAGAAGGAAATAAAAATTAAAACTGTGTGCATTACTAAGCACAGCAACTGTTTAAGCCTATTACTTCTCCCTCCTCCCCACTTTATCATTACTTTTTTATAGATAGTTCACGTAAGCTCTTTGGGACAGGAGATATAGGGATTTGGTTTTTTTAAATGTCTATTTAGCCTAGTTTTGTTGCCCTCTTACACTATATGTATAAACCTACAGATAGGTTAAGATAAGATAAAGGTTAAGAGTCATGTAGGATTCAAAAAAGGACAATTACTTTAAAACTTTGATTTTTTTTTTTTTTTTTACAGTGTATATAAACCTTTGTGCTTCAGGGCATAAAGCTAAGGGCTTGTCTACACAGAACTGTAATGGGAACTATAGGCGAGTGATTTCTAAAGTGTATGAATATAATGCACATTAATTGGTCTTTGTAGACCCTGCTGGTGCATGCTAAAGGTTCCCTCATGTGGTTTATATAGTATGATTTCATACAGTACTATGGTAAAGAGCCTGAGGGAACCTTTAGTGTGCACCAGCAGGGTCTACATGGACCAACTGATGTGCAATACACATCAGTATGTTTTACAAATCACACCCTGGTAATTTGCATTACTCCACTGTGCAGACAAGCCCTAACTGATCAAGAGTAATAAAAACTTTTTGTGGGCATGTTATTTCAGAATTTTCTATCACAGGATTTTTTTGCACCTGGCTCAGAAGCATCTGATACTGGCCAATGTGAAAAAAATGGATTTGAGAAATGTCTTCTAATAGGTCAAAAATTAAACAATGTAGAATAAAGTGCTCTGGTCCTGAAGTTTCTGTAATGAACGTAATTTTTTGATCCAATAAAGGTTATCTTGTAAAATAGTATGGAAGGCAGTAAGAGGATGAATGTAATGTTGGGGAGGGATATGAGAAATCGGCACTACTCCCTGAATTTTGGGACACTTGCCAGGACAGATCCATAGTTTCCAAAATATCTCTGCACCTGTAATAACATGCTTTATTTATAAAACAATACAAGATGGAGGAAGAAGTATAGTAGTAAGCTGCTATCTATGATGATCTGATCCTACCAAAGGTAAATGCAGCCAAGGCAAACCATCTTTATTTTTGGTAGAAACAAAATGAAGTAACTTTACAACAATCAATATTTTAAAATTGTTTAGTGAGCTTTTCCATAGTGGAACTCCACCAAACCTAGTTACACCGAATAAGATAACACTTCGTATCTTTGCTGTATTTGAAGATAAAAAGACTAACAAAGTTAATGGCTATTAGGAATATTATTCCAGTCATGGCAGCTACAGCTTATAACATTAATGGGATAGAAGCTATCCCAATGTTTTTACCCATCCACATCTTGCCCTAAACCAAATAATCTTTCTTAATTTACTTTATTATATATCTGAAATTCAGTGCACCATGCAAATGTTTTCATACTATACCTGCCTCCTAGACAAATGCAATATTCTAGCGCTTAACTCTATTTGTGCTCATATAAAGGCTGAATTCTATTTTATTTATGCCTGCCAAGCATTGGATTTTGAATTAGCATTGTGTATTCTAGATGTATGTAGGTTCTAACTTTTGGAGCCTTGTAGCAATTTCCAATACAGTTTGAAGAACCAGGGTTGTTATAACTTTTTTTTTTTTTTTTTAGGACGTATTTGCCATTTGACCAAATCAGAGTGACTGTGAAAAATAATTAAAAATAAATAAATCAGAATTGCATAAAATTGAAGCAGTGCTTTCAAAGTCCATGTTAAAATGCAAAGCAGATTTACCGCAACTATTAGATAGTTACTGAATATCTTTAGAATAGGTAGTAAATAAGAAAAAAATCTTTAAGTGTTGTTTGAGATATGCCAGAACTTAAAATGGCTGCCACTCAGTGGCAGTAACAACTTAGATCTTTTTATAATCAGTACAAATACTTGAAAATTTACATAATTTATGCATTGACTAAAATATAGGCCCCAATCCTGCAATTGCTTACATTCGCAAATAATTTTATGAATCCTGTGAATGTCTCATGTAAGTCAATAGGATTGCTCAGATCAGTGAACTGAGCATGTGTGTGAATGTCTGCAAGATGGAGGCCTTAGCTATGTCACTAATTTTTAACTATTTTATACTTATTACTCCATAGTTATTACACAATTTTAGACTTGGAGTATAGGCAATACTTTATAAATATAATATAAGGATATGTTCTGTATCATGTATTTGTGCTTAGAGAGAATAAGGCTCTTTTAAAAACGTGGGCATCTCGTACCTACACAAACTCATTTATTTAGCTCTACAGGATTGACTACTCAAAGTTATTTAAAGCAAGGCCCAACTCTAATTCTACTGAGGTCAACGGGTGTAGAATTGGGTCCTTTGTTAGGAAAGACACCTACTTAAACTGGATCAGGAATGTGCAAGGTGCTCACGTCATGAATTTTCCTACATTCTTCTAGTCACTGAACCAATCATGTTAGGTCAGATTAAACTAGTTTTATAATTTGGTGAATTCTTCTTAAGCAATATGCATTGAGTGCTAATATGAACAATGCACCCAATCATGTTTCCACTTAATTCAATGACAATGTTCCAAATGGTATTTGAAAAAAGATCATACCCTTTAAAAGAACAAGAGTCCACTGAAGAAATAAATGCTTTGGCATGATGAAGTCATTTTGTTCCCCAAGCAGAAAAGCATAAATGTATAAGTTGTTTGGGCTTTTTACGCTTGATCAAGTAACTGTGGTGTTCATACAGCATCCATGCATAATATAGAAATCGCCTTGTTTAATCAGATATGAGGCACTCATACTTATCATTCAACACAAGGAATGTTGTAAATGTAATAAATTCCTAGTATGTTCCCAACTGCATTTTAATCTGGCTGTTTCTTAATACTTGTATCCTTTCATCTCCCTTCTGCTGATTAGATTACTCCATCTCTCTGTGAGTAAAGTGTCAGTTTGCCTACGGCTACACTGCAGGTGAAGGCGTTATTGTAGTGTGGGAAGGCATGCCTGTGTTGTTTTTTTTAATCTAGCTAGTACGGATAACAATAGTGTAGACATGGTGGCACAGGTTTCTGTATTGGCTAGCAACCTGAGCACATACCCGGGATCACTCATGGGTTTGTATTTAGGCAGCTAGCCAGTGCAGTCACATCTATACTATTGTGCTGCCTAGATTAAGGCAAGCATGGGTATGCCTACCTGTGCTAGTCACACCTTCACTTGAATTACAGATGTAATCTTTTGACCCAAATATCCATATTTTCATTTGATCTCTAATATCATGGCATCTCCAGTTTAACATATCATCAATCTGGAATATTTAAATTGCTAAAATTTGCTAAAGAAAAGCCAGCTGTCACAAGTTAAATTGAAAGAATTTGCTCAGAATGTACACTTTGTGTAGTGGACTTCACAGCATGTTCATACCTTTTTCTTTAGTGCAGAAACAGTATTATATAATGGCAATATGCTTTGAGATTTTGATACTTTCTGATCTTAAAGGCTTTGGTGTAACTTAATATTTGTACTCCAGTCAGCTACAGGACAACAGCAATGGCAAAAACATTGACAATGCAGTTCATAGTCCGGTTTTCCCATCTCACTGTGCAGGTACCTAAAAGATAATTTAAAAAGATCAGAAAATAAACTTGCTCCCCATACCATCTCTGTTAAATTCCATTACATTTCACTGCAAAAGACCAGAAATTTAGAATAAAAAAACCTCTCACTCATTTCTCAGAGGAAATGTAATAGGAATTTGTAATCCTCTCCATAAAGATGAATTTACTCTTACCTTTTTCTCTTTGGATTACAGAAACTAATACCATCAAAACTGCATCAAACTTACACACACTACTATTTACTAATAAACTTAGTTTTAAATAGGATAAAAACTCCAATATAATATAACAAATTAAGTTCTCTCTATAAACCTGGAGAAAAAATAGCTTTTCCTTCAACTTTTGATTCTGCAGCTAAAGAGACGAGAAATGTAAATAGTTATGGGGTGTAAGAGTGGAGTGATAAGCTCTGATTAATGACTTCCTCCTGTCCTCATGAACTAATAATTTTCCTGATGTCAGAGAATCATTTCTTGTTCTTCCTTATCAGTCAACATATAGCGTTTGATAGTTACTTAAGCTCATAGCTTACCTGGCACAGTCACAGGGAGAGAAGATTGGTTCAGAATGAGTTTTTAAAAACATTGATTTAAGAAAGTCCTTGGCACCCTGCCAACAAGGAATTCCCCCTACCTCCATGTTCAGCCAATGAATCAATACTTTCAAATCCTTTTAGGCTCTTTTGTATGTAAAAGAATCTTCCATGGCAAAATAAGAATAGACTCATACTACACTTATGACATTAAGAACATAGATAAGAATATGTGGTTTTATTTACATGGACATAATGGGAAATCAGCAAAAGAAGCTGCTGCTCTGACATTTCTAAAGCCACCAATATATACATACCCCAATACAAACTCTGACCTGAATGTACTTATTTATTAGAACCTATTTTCTAAATAATGACTCAACTCAGTCTTGTGTTTTAAATGCAGCCTTTTAACCTTTTTTTACAACAGAATCCTGGTGCCTCATTTTAAGTCCTTTCTACAGTACTTGAAGAAACTGTCTTGGCAGGCTTGAAAGCATTCTAATAATCTTACCACACCACATTGTGAACTGAAATGGGGGCACTTGGAAATAATGCAGAAGTTAATAAAATAAAGGAACATGCAACTGACTGCAAGAAAGAAATAAAAGCTATAATAACATTAGTCAAAGTATTTCTGCTTTAGCTTAAAAAAAAAAAAGCCAATTCTTTATTCGTGCCAGCTTCTCTTAGAGTAGGGCAGTCCACTTATAATAAGTAGGCAGACATTCAGGATTGCAAATTTACATTTAGAGCACACACTACTAATTAAATCAGTGTCCCTACAATTGAAGATCTTCTATGGGGACTAATTTGCACAATCTTTCTTTCATACTGAAGATAGCTCCACTGGTATTGCTAATTTTGTCATACCCCAGTGTTCTCCATCCATCTATTATTCATTCAATCCGGGGTGTATCTGTTGAAAATGCATACAAGGCTTCCAGTTCTGGATTTGGTGGCTTTTTGTAATCAACCCTTCAAACTGCTAAAAATACTATTTGTAACACAGCTGAGCAACAGGTAGCACATTCACTGTCTTATTTGACTTGAATCTGAATGAGGGAAACTTACCATCAGTTGTGGTGTCCCAAAAGCACGAGCTTGCTGTGTGGAGACCAGCTCCACTCTTCTGCATTACTGCACAGGTTACTGAAGGACAGAGTAATAAAATCAGTTTTTTTCATTAATAAAACAAGACTGATGAATCTGCAGACCACGTGAAACTACCATCATGAAACATATACTGTAATTGGAAGCCTCAAAACACAGCCAAGACACATTCATTTAGTAACAACACAAGAATGGCAGCCTCTTCCCTTTATGTATTTGTTATATCACACTGTTGTATACAAGCTCTCATTTTACTGTCCTGCAAGCCTTCAGTTACCTTCTAACTAGGTCTCAAAACCAGGAAAGCTATTATGCAACACTCCTTTAAAAATCTTAATTCTAAGATTTTTAATATGAAGTCTACTGCAAGTGTCTAAATACTGATCTCTCATTTTTGGAGTAATTGTTTAGATATCTTCTAGGCTAGGCAGTAGCACAGATAGTGGCAGTGAAGACATGGCTGAGTACATAGCCACTGATTTCAGGTTCAGCCATGCCGCTGCTACCGTGGCTACACTGCTATTTATACTCATGCTAGCTCTCAGAGAGCTAGCATGAGTATGTATACACAAGCAGAGGAATCACACCCCTAGCTCATAGTGTAGACATAACCCTAGTGGTATGTAAATAACTCCTTTCCCAGAAAGCTCATTCGTATGACTAAATTCCCTTATTATCTTTTAAAATATTTAGAATTAATTTGCACTTGAAGGCACAGCCATTCACCAAGTTGGTGTGAAGGCACAATGTCCCACTGCGAGCTGCAGGAGGAATTGTGCCTGACACAGATGGTGCTTTTTGGAACTCCTCTGAGCAGAAGCAGCATGTAGTCTTACACCATCTTTTAAGTGGGTGCAGCATCTAGCATGGTCCAGCTGCCTTTGAAGAAGCAAGTGCCAGCAGCAGCACGAGCTGGAAGGAGTCCTTGCACCCCCTCCAGACTCCAGCGAGAAACTGTTGAATTGGAATTCATTTGCAAATTGGATACAATTAACTTAGGCTTGAATAGAGACTGGGAGTGGCTAAGTCATTATGCAAGGTAACCTATTTCCCCTTGTTTTTTCCTACTCCCCCCCAGAAGTTCTTGTTAAACCCTGGATTTGTGCTGGAAATGGCCCACCTTGATTATCATACACATTGTAAGAAGAAAAGGAGTACTTGTGGCACCTTAGAGACTAACCAATTTATTTGAGCATGAGCTTTCGTGAGCCACAGCTCACTTCATCAGATGTGTACCGTGGAAACTGCAGCAGACTTTATATACACACAGAGAATATGAAACAATACCTCCTCCCACCCCACTGTCCTGATGGTAATAGCTTATCTAAAGTGATCAGCAGGTGGGCCATTTCCAGCACAAATCCAGGTTTTCTCACCCTCCACCCCCCCACACAAATTCACTCTCCTGCTGGTGCTAGCCCATCCAAAGTGACAACTCTTTACATAATCAAGTCGGGCTATTTCCTGCATAGATCCAGGTTTTCTCACTTCCCCCCCACCCCCAAACACACACAAACTCACTCTCCTGCTGGTAATAGCTCATCTAAACTGACCACTCTCCAAGTTTAAATTCAAGTTAAACCAGAATATCGGGGGGGGGGGGGTAGGAAAAAACAAGAGGAAACCGCATTTGCTCCAACCCCTCAGACAGAGACAAACACCTACAAGATCTCTGTCAAGCTTTCTTACAACTACAATACCCACCTGCAGAAGTAAAGAAACAGATTGATAGAGCCAGAAGAGTTCCCAGAAGTTACCTACTACAGGACAGGCCTAACAAAGAAAATAACAGAACGCCACTAGCGGTCACCTTCAGCCCCCAACTAAAACCCCTCCAACGCATTATTAAGGATCTACAACCTATCCTAAAGGATGACCCAACACTCTCACAAGTCTTGGGAGACAGGCCAGTCCTTGCCTACAGACAGCCCCGCAACCTGAAGCAAATACTCACCAACAACCACATACCACACAACAGAACCACTAACCCAGGAACTTATCCTTGCAACAAAGCCCGTTGCCAATTGTGCCCACATATCTATTCAGGGGACACCATCACAGGGCCTAATAACATCAGCCACACTATCAGAGGCTCGTTCACCTGCACATCCACCAATGTGATATATGCCATCATGTGCCAGCAATGCCCCTCTGCCATGTACATTGGTCAAACTGGACAGTCTCTACGTAAAAGAATAAATGGACACAAATCAGATGTCAAGAATTATAACATTCATAAACCAGTCGGAGAACACTTCAATCTCTCTGGTCACGCAATCACAGACATGAAGGTCGCTATCTTAAAACAAAAAAACTTCAAATCCAGACTCCAGCGAGAAACTGCTGAATTGGAATTCATTTGCAAATTGGATACTATTAATTTAGGCTTAAATAGAGACTGGGAGTGGCTAAGTCATTATGCAAGGTAGCCTGTTTCCTCTTGCTTTTCCTACCCCCCCGATATTCTGGTTTAACTTGAATTTAAACTTGGAGAGTGGTCAGTTTAGATGAGCTATTACCAGCAGGAGAGTGAGTTTGTGTGTGTTTGGGGGTGGGGGGGAAGTGAGAAAACCTGGATCTATGCAGGAAATAGCCCGACTTGATTATGTAAAGAGTTGTCACTTTGGATGGGCTAGCACCAGCAGGAGAGTGAATTTGTGGGGGGGGGGTGGAGGGTGAGAAAACCTGGATTTGTGCTGGAAATGGCCCACCTGCTGATCACTTTAGATAAGCTATTACCAGCAGGACAGTGGGGTGGGAGGAGGTATTGTTTCATATTCTCTGTGTCTATATAAAGTCTGCTGCAGTTTCCACGGTACACATCTGATGAAGTGAGCTGTGGCTCACGAAAGCTCATGCTCAAATAAATTGGTTAGTCTCTAAGGTGCCACAAGTACTCCTTTTCTTTTTGCGAATACAGACTAACACGGCTGTTCCTCTGAAACCATACACATTGTAAGGAGAGTGATCGCTTTAGATAAGCTATTACCAGCAGGAGAGTGGGGTGGGAGGAGGTATTTTTTCATGCTTTGTGTGTATATAAAAAGATCTTCTACACTTTCCACAGTATGCATCTGATGAAGTGAGCTGTAGCTCACGAAAGCTTATGCTCAAATAAATTGGTTAATCTTTAAGGTGCCAAAAGTCCTCCTTTTCTTTTTGTGAATACAGACTAACACAGCTGTTACTCTGAAACCTGTCATAAATGTCTAAGTGATTAAGCACAAACACAATGAAATAATACAGACATTTTCTCAGTTCCTAATCACAAGGCGGAGGGGAAGGGGGGTTACAGTACAGGAGAAAACTAAGAGGGTATGTTTTTAAACTTCAAAGTACCCCCTAGCTTGAAAACAAATTCTTCCCAGCAATTACTTATCTGAATTGTATAAGGGAAAGTATGGATACTGGTACTTACCAATGTATTTGTATGTTTTTCCTAGTTTTACCAGATGTGTTAAAGATTGCTCCACTATAGTTGCAGTCCACTGATTGACTTTGTTGTGATTGTAATCTACCTTGCCCAAAATCCCTTCTATGCACTAAAAATAGAGAAAAATCAATTGCACTAGTAATACATCAATATGAAATGTCTCAAAACAAACCATGTTTAATAGAGTAACTCCAAATATTTACTAAACAATCCCAGAACACTTGCAGGGCAACTGAGTATCTTAGAATAACCATTTGAAATCAATTTAGCTCACTGCATATCAGTTGCTGAATTGGGAAATAAAATATAACTCAGAATCCATAGATGCTGAGAGATTTACTATATATTCGTCTGTCTAGCTCAAAGGTACAATTGATGTGGTAAAGTGAAGCTGTCAGCAGAAATGTATTGCAGAAAAAGACTTAAATAGTTAAGACTGCAACATGACTTCTGTTTAAAAGTCAAGCTTTCTTAAAAATCGACATGCTTAGTTCGATTCTTTTGAAAGCTGGTGTGCACTATTCAGTTGCTGGTTGCCATGGTGTTACATTTAACAAATTCTATTACAGACTATTCATCATAGCCTACTTTCCCTTGTATAAAAAGGCACTAAAATCTGTCTTCAAAACTAATTCCAAAATTATATTTAATAAATAAATATGCATGTATGCTAAAAGTGTGAAAGTATCACTGAAAGTGACCTGCAGCTTTTTCTAGATATTGTATTTCATTCAAGTCACTAAAATTGTTAAACATAGCTTACCTCCTTAACGATGTTGTGGGCTTCCTCAGCATTGAAGGTCATCTATAATTTAAAAAGTTAAAAGTATAATCAGTTACTTATAGCATTTCATATTATTCTGGGGAGAAAATAAATACTTGGATCTAGTTTTTCTTACCCCAACTAGAAAAGGCATAGGACAAGCACCACACCCAGGTAAACTGTATTTTAAACCCAAATTAGATCAAAAGTAGTTTTAAAAATACCTCCACATTCTCCAACACAACACAGCTGCCATTTGGCATTAATCCCTGTCCTACAACCCCCTCAAAAAGAAGTTTTAAAAGATGAGGCCTGGATACCAGGGTCCAAGCTCATTTTTCCCTATCCTAAAAGATTCTTAGCCATGCCAAGAGGCATGGTATTACATATCATGAATATCCACCAGAACAAAAGACTGAACTGAACTCCCTTCATAGGGATCCCAAGCCCGCTCCCACTGAAATGAGGATTCCTACTGACAAATTTTAACAGAAAACCATAAAACAGGGGATTGCAATCCTAGTACTAAAACTGCTGACTGTTTTATAGGTACTAGAATGCCAAGTCACTTATTCAGAATTTTTTTTTTTCCATTTAAATCATCAGTCTTCTCTGCATTTGTCTCCTGGTTTTCCCTTCTCATCTTTGTTGTTTTTCTTCTCTGTTGCCTTCCCTCCATTAGTTTATTCCACATGTTACTTTCTCCCTCCACTCCCCCACATGCTTTACCTAATATATATCACTTTGGTGTTGGGTGCTGTCTTTACAGACAGAAAGATGCATAGTAGTCTACCCAGTGAGAAAGTACTAATTCTCATAATTTTCACTTTGTTCTAGTGGTTCCTAGAAGTGGAGAGGTGCGGTTGAATAGACTAAATCTGGTTAGTTTAATTCTTCTACTCTGGCTGGGGAACAACATGGCAAAATGAAATAAATAAGGTCTTGTCATTCACTTTACTGTTCTTAGAGTGAGCCCAGAAGTTTTTTTGCATTTCTTGTCAAAGAACTCTGTGATTTGTGCTTTGGGGCACCCCCACGAACATGATACAGTTCTGTGGTGACCTAGAATCCTCTTTTCGACGTCTCCGACTCAAGGGATATTTCCAACACACCTCTGAACAACATACTAATCCACAGAGACCTCCCTACCAACACTACAAAAAGAAGGATTCTAGGTGGACTCCTCCTGAAGGTCAAGACAGCAGACTGGACTTCTACATAGAGTGCTTCCGCCGACGTGCATGGGCTGAAATTCTGGAAAAGCAGCATCACTTGCCCCACAATCTCAGCCGTGCAGAACACAATGCCATCCACAGCCTCAGAAACAACTCTGACATCATAATCAAAAAGACTGACAAAGAAGGTTGTCATCATGAATAGGTCGGAATATGAACAAGAGGCTGCTCGGCAGCTCTCCAACACCACTTTCTACAAGCCATTACCCTCTGATCCCACTGAGAGTTACCAAAAGAAACTACAGCATTTGCTCAAGAAACTCCCTGAAAAAGCACAAGATCAAATCTGCACAGACACACCCCTGGAACCCTGACCTGGGATATTCTATCTACTACCCAAGATCCATAAACCTGGAAATCCTGGGCGCCCCATCATCTCAGGCATTGGCACCCTGACAGCAGGATTGTCTGGCTATGTAGACTCCCTCCTCAGGCCCTACGCTAACAGCACTCCCAGCTACCTTTGAGACACCACTGACTTCCTGAGGAAACTACAATCCATCGGTGATCTTCCTGATAACACCATCCTGGCCACTATGGATGTAGAAACCCTTTACACAACATTCCACACAAATATGGACTACAAGCCGTCAAGAACACTATCCCCGATAATGTCACGGCTAACCTGGTGGCTGAACTTTGTGACTTTGTCCTTATCCATAACTATTCACATTTGGGGAGAATGTATACCTTCAAATCAGCGGCACTGCTATGGGTACCTGCATGGCCCCACAGTATGCCAACATTTTTATGGCTGACTTAGAACAACGCTTCCTCAGCTCTCGTCCCCTAACGCCCCTACTCTACTTGCGCTATATTGATGACATCTTCATCATCTGGACCCATGGAAAAGGAGCCCTTGAGGAATTCCACCATGATTTCAACAATTTCCATCCCACCATCAACCTCAGCATGGTCCAGTCCACACAAGAGATCCACTTCCTGGACACTACAGTGCTAATAAACGATGGTCACATAAACACCACCCTATACCGGAAACCTACTGACTGCTATTCCTACCTACATGCCTCCAGCTTTCACCCTGACCACACCACACAATCCATTGTCTACAGCCAAGCTCTGCGATACGACCGCATTTGCTCCAACCCCTCAGACAGAGACAAACACCTACAAGATCTCTATCAAGCATTCTTACAACTACTATACCTACCTGCGGAAGTGAAGAAACAGATTGATAGAGCCAGAAGAGTTCCCAGAAGTCACCTACTACAGGACAGGCCTAACAAAGAAAATAACAGAACGCCACTAGCCGTCACCTTCAGCCCCCAACTAAAACCCCTCCAATGCATTATTAAGGATCTACAACCTATCCTGAAGGATGACCCAACACTCTCACAAATCTTGGGAGACAGGCCAGTCCTTGCCTACAGACAGCCCCGCAACCTGAAGCAAATACTCACCAGCAACCACATACCACACAACAGAACCACTAACCCAGGAACCTATCCTTGCAACAAAGCCCGTTGCCAATTGTGCCCACATATCTATTCAGGGGACACCATCACAGGGCCTAACAACATCAGCCACACTATCAGAGGCTCGTTCACCTGCACATCCACCAACGTGCCAGCAATGCCCCTCTGCCATGTACATTGGTCAAACTGGACAGTCTCCACGTAAAAGAATAAATGGACACAAATCAGATGTCAAGAATTATAACATTCATAAACCAGTCAGAGAACACTTCAATCTCTCTGGTCACGCGATTACAGACATGAAAGTTGCGATATTACAACAAAAAAACTTCAAAACCAGACTCCAGCAAGAGACTGTTGAATTGGAATTCATTAGCAAATTGGATACAATAACTTAGGCTTGAATAGAGACTGGGAGTGGCTAAGTCATTATGCAAGGTAACCTATTTCCCCTTGTTTTTTCCTACCCCCCCCCACCCCCCAGACGTTCTTGTTAAATCCTGGATTTGTGCTGGAAATGGCCCACCTTGATTATCATACACATTGTAAGGACAGTGATCACTTTAGATAAGCTTTTACCAGCAGGAGAATGGGGTGGGGGGAGAGAAAACCTTTTGTAGTGGTAAACACCCATTTTTTCATGCTTTATGTGTATAAAAAGATCTTCTACACTTTCCACAGTATGCATCGGATGAAGTGAGCTGTAGCTCACGAAAGCTTATGCTCAAATAAATTGGTTAGTCTCTAAGGTGCCACAAGTACTCCTTTTCTTTTTGCGAATACAGACTAACACGGCTGTTACTCTGACACCTTGTCATAAATAACCTTGTCTGACACCTTGTCATAAATATCAATAGATAACTAAAACTGTAGGGTTTCCAAAGGTTATTTTTGAAATATAAACATTGTGCTCTAGGAAGATTGTCCCCTTAATCCTTAAAAGGCCACATCCTGAAACTGAAGTTGCGCAGGTGAACCCCTGCTAGTGATATCAATAGGGCTTTGTGCATGGTGCAGGAGGCTGTGCAAGCAGATCCACTTGCAGGAACCAGCCCTAAATGAAATCACTCCCTCTAAAGCCATTTTGCCATTCTCAATTTCTCTGCACTCTTTGAAAGCTCAAGAATTGTGCTAAGAATATATTCTCTTTTTACACAGGAAGACAGCGAGGAAAAAAAAAAACCACGTGTGTGGATTTATTCAGCGTGAACTTTATAAACAAACTTCTACACTTGTTTGCTCACCCCACCGCCACATCCCTTCCCCACAGCGATGCTGAAGCCTTCTTGCGGATGATTTTTTTCCTACCTTCTCCCCAGCAACTGAGCTTATGTCTTCTGGTGCAGTAGTGCATCTCGCTCTGCTTCAAACCACTGCCTACTCTGTGTCAAGGGAGCTGCAAGAAGCAGCTGCTGGTACAGCTCTGGCTACCTGCAACTCCCACCCCTGCTAGACCCCAGCCTTGTCCCAGGGTGACTCTCTTCCCAGCAGCAGCCGCCCGGGGCGGGGGGAAGGGGGCTTTCTGGACCAGGGCCCTGCGGCAACGCGCAGCGCCAAGCGCAGAGGATTAAATGGCTCCCCGTGGGGATGGGCTGCTGAGGGTGCTGGCTCCTTCCGTTTTCTACAGCCGCCGTTTCTTACCCGCCTTTTCGTGTCGGTCGCTGCTCCCAGCAGCACGGGCCTAGGGGAGGGCGGCTTAATACACGACCCCGGCCTGCCCCGGGCACCGGGACCGCCCGCGAGGAGGCGGCAGGCCGCGGGGAATACAACACTCGCTGCCGCCCGGCCCCCGGCCCCGGACGGACTCCGGGCTTTTGCTGGACACGGACACGAACAGGCCAGCGACCCGGGCCCGGCTCCCCTGCCCCGGGGGGGCTCCCAGCGCGGGCGGGAGCCCCCCGAGGCCGCTCGCTCAACGCCCGCCCCGCGTCCCCGGCCCCCACCTCGTCGCTGTGGGGGTGAAACTCCTCCATGGCCCGGCTCCGGCGGCGACTCCTCAGCCCGGCGCGGCTCCGCCTCCCCGGCCCCGGCCCGCGGGCCTCCGGCGGCAGCGACCCCTGCCGGGCGCCGCGGGGAGAGCGCCCGCTCGGCCCCCAGCCCTCCTCTCCGGAGGCTCAGCCGGGGCGGGGGCGGGAGAAAGGAGGCTGCTGAAGGTCGGACAGGCCGGCGGCGGCAGCGCCCGCTCCTGCTCTGGAGTCAATGGGCAGGGGGCTGATGCCTGTGGCGAAAGCCCGTCGGCCACGGCCGCCCGGTGCTGCGAGCTCGGCGGGTGACCTGTCCAAAGGGGGGAGAAATGGGCTTGTGTGCTGCTCCCCCCCCCCGCCAGGGCGTAATAAAGGCTGGACAGGGCTTGTGAAATCGGTGTGTGGGGAGGGGGGTTATTTCCTCTTCTGCTTTTACCACAAGAAATAACGAGTCCGGCTCCCCTGGGTTTGCTGGAGAACCCTTTGAGGTTTCCGGTGCCGCACTGCGGACCGGCGGTGGCCTCCTGGCTCAGGCACCAGGCTGGCACTCAGGAGGTCTGGCTTCTTCTTCTCCTGGCTCCGCCGTTGTCAGAGCTGTGTGGCTTGGGGCAAATTATTAAACTCTCCCTGCTTAAATCTTCCCCGCTGAAAACTGGAGCTAATGCTTAGGCACCTTCGTTAAATCACTTTGAGCTCTTGTGGACGAAAAATGCGGTATAAATTCTAAGTATGAGCGTTTGTGCCTCTTCATTAGGGGCTAGGGTGGTGGGATCTTTCCCTGTTAAACCTTGGCGTTAAATAGGAGTTAAAACAGCTTTAAAAACTGCAGGAAAAATCTTTCACCCTCAGTTGCTCAGTTTTCAGGGTTTTTTTTCCTTGTAACTTCATAATCCCCTCAGTAGTCATAAACAGGGTTTCCAGGTGGACAAAACTAGAATTTTTAGCCTTTAAGAAAGTGGGAAAAAATCCTTTTTCGTGTCTTTTTCATATGTCATAAAGCAGCATAAAAGTCTATAGAACCCTTCTCCCTTTGTAGTTCACCTTTAATAGCACCTTGAGTTCTGTGCAGTGACCCTGTTGTAAGGGCAGGAATCTCCCCTGCAACTGGAAAAGAGAATTTGCTTTTATTACTAGTAAATGTTGACAGTGTGCACAATACTGCACAAAACCCAAAGATAGTTTCCTGTGCTAAATAAAATGCCTTTTTGTATTTATATTCCAGTAATAGAGCACCTTTAATCGTGAAGGGTCTCAGAGCATTTTACAGATTTCAGCTGATAACCGGAGGAATAATTTTTCCCAGTGGTGACTGTACTTTGAAGGTAGAAAAACTGATCAGTTGTTCAGCTGGGCATAGCAGTTCTCCACAACAATATAATAAATGAAGTGAAGAATACCATTTAGAAACTGCAGCTGTCTGTAGGTAGGCAGAATGTAAATGAGAAATTGTCCCTGAGATTTTCTTTTTTCCTGGAATTGGGTGGCATTTCCTTTTTACTCCATAACTGGCATGTTTCAGTAATTCTGAAAGACTCTTCTGTGCTGCTGTATGATTGAATATGACCACTTACATCACTGATATTACCACTGTTCTACAATTGCAACAAATCTTTTACAAAGTATGTCATGTAAATGTCAATCCAGGTATCCTCTTTATATCTGAAGTTATGAATATTGGCCATGGACTTGTATTTTATACATGTGTTATAGTCCTGGGTAACACCTACCAGACAGGATTTACACTGGTACCAGACAGCTATGTAGTGATGGTCCATCAAGGACACTTCACTCTCACAGTGCGCCATCAAAGAAACTCATCCTGCCCAGATAGCTCTTCTTGCCGATGTATCAGTTTCCAAGGGGCCAATGGCCACCTCCTGTGAGTCATCAAAGCATGACCCTGGACTCCATCTTGGACTAGTAATTTTCCATGCACCTGGGCTGTGAGTTTAGTTGGGACAGCAAAATTCCATGCACATGGCGGAGGATATAAAAGGACCCTGACATATCTCCATTTTTGTCTTCATTTTCTCTAGACTGGATTTCTAACAAGGAAGCTCTAAGCAAGGACTGATTACCCCCAACCTGTTTGGGTAATTCCAGGGAGAGAGTTTTGCAAGCTAGCAGTTTATTCCATCATTTCCATGATCCTGATCTATGAACACTGAAAAATCACTTGTGTGTGTATATGATCTATTAATCATTTATAACTCTATTTTCTTTTATTATTAAACCTTTAGTTTTTAGTTAGTAAGGATTGGCATCAACATAATTATTGGATAAGATCTGAGTTATATATTGACCTGGCTAAGTGGCTGGTCCCTTGGGATTAGAAGGACCCTATATTTGATTAAATTGGTTTTCAGTAACCACTCATCATGAAGTTCAGTGTCTGTGTGGTGAGCCGAGGGCTGGAATGCCTAAGGAGACTGCATTTTTGGCTTCTTTGTTAACCAGTGTGGTGAGACAGAAGTTCACTTTTGTTACTGGCTGGGTATAATCTAATGATAGAATAACCACCAGTTTGGGGTGAGTCTGCTCTATTTCTCAGCAATCTGCCCTGAATGTAGTATTCTCAGCCATGACCCACTGAGGCATGGTGACATCTTCCAAGATGTTTCAGTGAGGCATTTACAATCTCGCTTTAAAAACAACAAAGCCCAATTATTTTTATATCTGCTAGGGAGCCCTGTAATTCTGTAAATGAGACACTTCCTCATGGGAGTAATAACTTTTTTTTTCTTCTGCTTCTAGATTAATTTCTCTGCATGACCTTGTCATGCATCTGATGCAAAGTCACCATTTTACAGACTGGTATTAAAAGTGAATGGCAAGGTAATGTTCTCTAATTGCTGTGTTTAATTGAAAAGGTTAATACTGACATTTACTTTTATTCTTGCACATAATAAAACAATGAATAGCTAATAAATAGGAAGTCACCACTATCTGTTGTTGTTTGAGAGACCGGTTGGGCAACCAGCACAAAATACTGCAAGTTGGAGTACTGAAGTAGTGAGACTTCTCAGTGTTGTAACTTTTGTGATTTATTTTGTTCACAACATAGAAAGACTTAGCCACTGTAACATCATTCTTCTCTTCCCCTAACTCACTCTAATTTGAAAAAGACATTTAGGTCTAAGCTCAAGACTGGGAGTCAGGAACTCCTGAGTTCTAATCCTAGTTTTGACTGTGTGATTCCTTAAGAGGGTTGATATATGCCTGCCTACCTCACAGGAGTATTTTGTGGATTAATTTTGCACAGCACTTTGAAAATATAAAAATCACATACCAAATTATTATTTTATTTTTGACTTCAGTCACTTGCCCTGGAACTAGCTTTCAGGTTTGGCATGTGCTGCAGAACAGAGTAAGAGAAGATTGATCAGGAGGGAGAAATCCCTTGTTTAAAACAGATATCATTATGAGCAAGCACAAATGGAAACCGAATAATGAAAAAATACATGAAGGTTATATAGTTTTTCAGCATAACACATTTCATTTTTCTATTGTATCGCAGCACCTCCTTAATGTTTCATGCAATGCTTTCTCAAGACTCCATGCTTTGAAGCTATTTTTTTTTTAATAAATTGTTACTATGGCAGCTAATGGTAACATTCCATCTTGCTGAATGTAAACTAATAGAAGTTTTCTGTCAGATATAGGTGTAGAATATACACTAGTGAGCCGCATTGCGAAGAAGAAATCAGCAGTGTGGAATGGGGATTTACCCCAAGGTTGGAAGAGTTCTTTCACTTTTGAGTCTTTTCAGGATGTAGGAAAATATAAAATTAAAATAGCTTCTAGTTCATCTGTGCTTATCTCTTCCCGACCTACTGAGCCATTGCTATTGGCTTTCCATTGTGTATTTTATTTATCTCAGAGAGATTCATCTTTAAACTAATTTCAACAATCAAAATTCTTCCTCTTGTCATGGAAAATGACTAAATCTGTTACTGATGTCACAAAAACACTTATAAATTGAAAAGAAATATTTTGACCCCCTGTTCCATGATGTATTGCTTGATCATGCTACTTATTGTTTATTACACTAGAGGGAACTATACGCTGGCAAGTGAAGATGGGTAGTTCAGTATAGTTCTGTCAACTGTAAAAGGAACTGTGCTGAAAGAGACGATGCAGAGGTAGATTCCTGAACTGTTTTTTCATGCACTGCAGACTTTCTTCATTTAAATGCAGAAAAGGAGCATATAAATGCAGAGAATGAACAGAGCAGCTTGAATCTACGATTCTATTAAATCATTCTGGTGATATCAAGTAAATACTTGTTGGGGAAGGATGATGATTTTACACATGGGAGCCGTAGTAATCTGTGAAGAGTCTATGCTGCTTGAGAGGATTCAATGTAATGTCAATGCTAATGCTGCTAAAGTATCAAGGGATAATTTTTATATCACTTTTTTTTAAAGTGTTTATTAAACTGCCAGAGACAAAAGCAATAAAATTCTGGCATTAGTCTGTCCTGGCTTTCTTTGCCATGTTTGGGCAGATCCTGTACTACTTACTCAGCCAGAAGTCTAATGAGAATTGTGCCTGCATAAGGAGTTCAGGATCTGGCCCATCATGTATATGTATTGTCAAGAGCTATTTTAATAATATTACAAGAAAACTAGTGGCTTGCTAATTACACCCTGGATAATTAAATACATATTAAATAAGAGAGTTCTTAGTTGAGTCATTCTAGGTATTGGTATCTCCATAGCTGTAAATGATCCCTTTAAAGAGTGTCCTGTATGTGTAGGGTCTTATCTAGACTGGAAAATTGCATCATGTTAGAACACCTGTTGAATGATATGGTGGACCAGTTTACATGAGGTATATGTAGGCATAGGTATTGCATTAGGTATATTCATGAGGTATTGTATGCCCATACAGGTAGTAAGGCTAATGCTCCAAGTTGACAGGTTTCAGAGGAACAGCCGTGTTAGTCTGTATTCGCAAAAAGAAAAGGAGTACTTGTGGCACCTTAGAGACTAACTAATTTATTTGAGCATGAGCTTTCGTGAGCTACAGCTCACTTCATCAGATGTATACCGTGGAAACTGCAGCAGACTTTATATACACACAGAGAATATGAAACAATACCTCCTCCCACCCCACTGTCCTGCTGGTAATAGCTTATCTAAAGTGATCAACAGGTGGGCCATTTCCAGCACAAATCCAGGTTTTCTCACCCTCCACCCCCCCACACAAATTCACTCTCCTGCTGGTGCTAGCCCATCCAAAGTGACAACTCTTTACATAATCAAGTCGGGCTATTTCCTGCATAGATCCAGGTTTTCTCACTTCCCCCCCCACCCCCAAACACACACAAACTCACTCTCCTGCTGGTAATAGCTCATCTAAACTGACCACTCTCCAAGTTTAAATTCAAGTTAAACCAGAATATCGGGGGGGGGGGGGGTAGGAAAAAAACAAGAGGAAACCGCATTTGCTCCAACCCCTCAGACAGAGACAAACACCTACAAGATCTCTGTCAAGCTTTCTTACAACTACAATACCCACCTGCAGAAGTAAAGAAACAGATTGATAGAGCCAGAAGAGTTCCCAGAAGTTACCTACTACAGGACAGGCCTAACAAAGAAAATAACAGAACGCCACTAGCGGTCACCTTCAGCCCCCAACTAAAACCCCTCCAACGCATTATTAAGGATCTACAACCTATCCTAAAGGATGACCCAACACTCTCACAAGTCTTGGGAGACAGGCCAGTCCTTGCCTACAGACAGCCCCGCAACCTGAAGCAAATACTCACCAACAACCACATACCACACAACAGAACCACTAACCCAGGAACTTATCCTTGCAACAAAGCCCGTTGCCAATTGTGCCCACATATCTATTCAGGGGACACCATCACAGGGCCTAATAACATCAGCCACACTATCAGAGGCTCGTTCACCTGCACATCCACCAATGTGATATATGCCATCATGTGCCAGCAATGCCCCTCTGCCATGTACATTGGTCAAACTGGACAGTCTCTACGTAAAAGAATAAATGGACACAAATCAGATGTCAAGAATTATAACATTCATAAACCAGTCGGAGAACACTTCAATCTCTCTGGTCACGCAATCACAGACATGAAGGTCGCTATCTTAAAACAAAAAAACTTCAAATCCAGACTCCAGCAAGAAACTGCTGAATTGGAATTCATTTGCAAATTGGATACTATTAATTTAGGCTTAAATAGAGACTGGGAGTGGCTAAGTCATTATGCAAGGTAGCCTGTTTCCTCTTGTTTTTCCTACCCCCCCCCCCCCCCCCAGATGTTCTGGTTTAACTTGGATTTAAACTTGGAGAGTGGTCAGTTTAGATGAGCTATTACCAGCAGGAGAGTGAGTTTGTGTGTGTATGGGGGTGGGGGGATGTGAGAAAACCTGGATCTATGCAGGAAATAGCCCGACTTGATTATGTAAAGAGTTGTCACTTTGGATGGGCTAGCACCAGCAGGAGAGTGAATTTGTGTGGGGGGGTGGAGGGTGAGAAAACCTGGATTTGTGCTGGAAATGGCCCACCTGTTGATCACTTTAGATAAGCTATTACCAGCAGGACAGTGGGGTGGGAGGAGGTATTGTTTCATATTCTCTGTGTGTATATAAAGTCTGCTGCAGTTTCCACGGTATACATCTGATGAAGTGAGCTGTAGCTCACGAAAGCTCATGCTCAAATAAATTGGTTAGTCTCTAAGGTGCCACAAGTGCTCCAAGTTGAGGTATATATGCCCTGTAACAGCATTGCAAATAGGAATTCATATAGGAAAGAAGACTAGGTTGGGGATAGCATAGCTATAAGGATCTTAAGGCAGTTAGCCAAGGTACATCAAATACCATTTAACCATTACAGCAGTCAAGCAGACAAAGGTGGCATAATGATTTTTCACAGGCTTACACATTTCATAGAAAAGAGACTGGGAACTGTTAAGGTTTCTGACAATCAGTCCAGAACCTTATCTGGTTTTTTTTTCTGTGCTTTCTTCATGTCAGCAGGGGAGATAAAGCAGAATCTAAGACTGAGAAATTGCTAGATATTTGGTATAGACATTCAGTGGAACCGTAACATGATCGTTGCCCTTGGCATAGTTTGTGACACCCTTCCGCTCCTGCAGCACTTCTGCGGGGACCATCTTGGTGAATTACATCACAGCAGCATATCTCATTGGTCTTGAATAAGCGCCTTCTCTGCCTCCGAATCCCCTGTCTCAGTATAATATCAAGAGTCAGGACTGCTTAAAGGGGATGCAGAGTGGATCGCTTTCCAGTTCACTTCCGCACCATATTAGTTCCTCCAAGGCACAGCATAAACTGCAAATCCCAAACCGGGAACAGAAATCCCAACATCCTAATCTAGCCCTTGTGTACACAACACTTATCACCTCTGAGGCCTCCCAGGGCTGGGATGAATCTAAAGGAATGGAATTCAGAAATAGAGGCTAAAACAAAAAGAATGCTGTAATTGCTTCTATGGAAACAGCACTAATGTGGACAATAACTACTTGTTGTTTTCTGTACTCCCCTTTATCCAGAGCTGAGCAGTTGACTGATATGAAAAGGAAGAAACAGAGGTCTAAGGATGAGATGTCTGAAGCCCTCCTTACAGACTTTCCAAAAAGCCCTGGAAAACTACTGATAACTGGAAAGTGTTTTTGATGTCTGAAAGAGAAAAAGACAGGCAGCTATCCAGCGACGGCATTGAACTGGCTCGAGACAGTGTTGCCATGACGAAAGATGCTGCGGAGGAAGATAGGGACTCCTGGAGGCAATGATCAGGCAGAACGTTCTGTTGGGTTGCATAGTGAAATTAGGCTAGCAGACAGTCGAGCATCTTCAACCAGAAGCAGCCATGTTCTGCAGCCCCTGTATGATCTAGGGTACTGGGAACACCAGCCTATGTTTCCCGCAGTAGACCTGCAGCCTTGCTCCCAGAGGCCATTCACTTCCCCAGCTTCAGCACTGGGTAGTAAGAACACCACATGGGAGCCCAGCACATCTGCACTATCCAATGCATGTGGCAACTGTGACCCCAATATGCTACCCTAGAAGGCAGAGGGTCTAGAAGAAGCAAAGACAAGATGTTCACCTGCGTGTGAACAGAAGTCCCCTCCCCTGACTTGTTGTGTGTTGCCCTCTTCACCCCACTGTATGTGAAAGACATTTTTTCACTTTAAACCTGTGTTTGATGTTGTTTTAATCACTATGATCAAAGATTGTAACATTTTCTAAGTTTTATTTTTGGTTTTTATTTATTGCAATAATTTGTGCAATAAAAAACATTAAGTACCAAAGTACCTGCAATGGATGGTACACACAACCCACAAATTTTCAACTGAACAGCAGTGTCGTAAGTTTTTATAAAAGCACAGATGGTATAAAATAGAGTACCCAAATGTGCCACTTCCAACATCCATAAAATCAACTTCAATTCTCAAAATTCTCTCCCTTTCCCCCCAAAACCCCCACAGCTGGATGTACAGCTGCACTCTTTCAGGCACCAAACTCAAAGTAAGAACAAAAGCAGTCCCTGACAATGCCTTGGGGCTGCTCATGTCTCTGCATGACTGCACCACAGCCTCGCACACATTAAGACTTTCTTACTCTCACAGATATTGTGCAAAATACAACATGCAGCTATAATCCTAGGTAAATATCATTGTGCAGTTTCTAATCTAATGAAAAATAATGCCGTCTTGATTTCAAACGGCCGAATGCACACTCCACTGCCATTCTGCAACTGCTGAGACGATAGTTAAGCAGTTTATTCCTTCTGTCAAAGTACACCATAAATGACTTCACTGTCCGGTGTCACAGAGGATAAACTGGGTCTTCCACAGTACCCAGAGAAATCTGCATGCCCTTAATGTCCATAGTGCTCCTGGAGGCAAACTCTCCATTCATTAAGATAAACAGGCACGAATTCCAAAAGATCCCAGTATTGTGGACTTTTCCAGACTACCCTGCATGTATGTTTGTGAACCTGCCACAGTCGTCAGCCAGGCCTTAGAGCATCATAGGGAGCACTTTTCAGTTCAGCTCTGTCAAGGTTCCTCCCCCACTCTGAACTCTAGGGTACAGATGTGGGGACCTGCATGAAAAACCTCCTAAGCTTATCTTTACCAGCTTAGGTCAAAACTTCCCCAAGGTACAAAATATTACACCCGTTATCCTTGGAATGGCCGCTACCACCACCAAACTAATACTGGTTACTGGGGAAGAGCTGTTTGGACGCGTCTTTCCCCCCAAAATACTTCCCAAAACCTTGCACCCCACTTCCTGGACAAGGTTTGGTAAAAAGCCTCACCAATTTGCCTAGGTGACTACAGACCCAGACCCTTGGATCTTAAGAACAATGAACAATCCTCCCAACACTTGCACCCCCCCTTTCCTGGGAAATGTTGGATAAAAAAAAAAAAACCTCACCAATTTGCATAGGTGACCACAGACCCAAACCCTTGGATCTGAGAACAATGAAAAAGCATTCAGTTTTTTACAAGAAGACTTTTAATAAAAAATAGAAGTAAATAGAAATAAAGAAATCCCCCCTGTAAAATCAGGATGGTAGATATCTTACAGGGTAATTAGATTCAAAAACATAGAGAACCCCTCTAGGCAAAACCTTAAGTTACAAAAAAGATGCACAGACAGAAATAGTTATTCTATTCAGCACAATTCTTTTCTCAGCCATTTAAAGAAATCATAATCTAACACATACCTAGCTAGATTACTTACTAAAAGTTCTAAGACTCCATTCCTGTTCTGTCCCTGGCAAAGACCAGCATACAGACAGACACAGACCCTTTGTTTCTCTCCCTCCTCCCAGCTTTTGAAAGTATCTTGTCTCCTCATTGGTCATTTTGGTCAGGTGCCAGCGAGGTTACCTTTAGCTTCTTAACCCTTTACAGGTGAGAGGAGCTTTCCCCTGGCCAGGAGGGATTTCAAAGGGGTTTACCCTTCCCTTTATATTTATGACAAGCTCTGATGCCTGATGTTGAAGGCAAATGATAGGTATGTGGGTCCCATCAGTTGCTCCAATACAATTTTGAGAACCCCATGTGTGCAAAGCCATCAATAGAGTCCTAAGCATTAGCATTGTCAAGCTTTATAAGCCAGTGTACCAGTACCTTCTGATAGCAGCACACGCTTGCATGACTGTGTCCCCACAGCTGATCTTCCAACACTGAATTGTTTGTCTGCGGACCAGTAACAGTTGGGGGTGAACTGTTGACAGATGGTGACCTGTTTGTTAACGATGGTAAACAGCATGTTAGTATGCTGCCACTGCAGCTTTGAAGTGAGTTCGGCACAGATCTCTAAAAGAGCTGTCTTTGCCATTCAGAAATCCTGTCACCACTCCATATCCTCCCAGGTCTGCAGAACCGTCCTTTCCAACCCATTGATGCTGGTTTCCAAGCCCAGAAATGGTGTTGTGCTGTGTGCAGCTACTCTAAGAACAGCCCATGTAGTAGCAGTTGCTCAGTGACTTTCCTTCTCCCTCTGCTGCTGTTGTGGCTGCATCCGTTGGTTGGTGGTTGAAATCCAAATCCAAAGCCCCCCAGCACTGAGAGCTCAAATAAAGTCCAAACAGCCTTTGCATGTTCGTCATTGCTGGCATGGAGTGTTGTTGTGTCCATGCTGGCCCACGGCAATTCAGAAATGGCTCTAGCCCACCTTGGAAGAGAGGAACCACAGGATGGAGGGAACAGAATCATGGGATTTGGGGAGTTTGACCCCAAGTCCCAGAATTCCACTGTTTGTTCAATAGTAATTTCTTTTGTTTTCCTTTAGGAGCAGTTTCAACAGATATTAAACCTCCCATAAGAATTCAGTCTGCTTCCTACAGGACACTTCGCCAGGCAGCCTTGCTAATGTAAGTCATATGAAATTTAGTAACTGAAAGAATTTTTTCATTTAGTGACTTAAAGAAGCAACTCAGATTGTATTTGCTTAATTCTCAGCATATAGCAAAATCAAAAATTGTAATAAGATCTCTTGAGTCCAATTCCAGTTCCTTAACCACAAGTTCCATCATTTCTCTTTATCCTCTAAACTTCAGAAATGTAGCTTTCTAAGAGATCTTGCTAGAAAATGCAAGCACAAATAACAGGTGTGGTAGTTTCGCTTTTTCTTTGGGTCCAGTGCTGGCAGGCAGCCCAGTCCTCCCCACCCCCACATTACTCTAGAAAAAGCTTTTACTTGATAACTTTATTTAAATACAATTCTCTTTAAAATGAAGCCTTTTACCAAAGCTGCCTTGCTCTGTCCACATCATTAATAGTGTGTATATTCTGTGTCATTGATTAACCCCCCGGTAAACCTTTCAAAATTGCTTAAGGGCCAGATTTTTAAAAATACTTTTATGAGCTGGGTGCAACCTTGTAATGGGTTGCATTAAAACCCTGTTGAAGTTGATCTTGATTAACTCACCTTTCAATTAACAACTATAAACAAACTCCCACCTCAGAAAAAAGGTGTGTGAGAATCCACCCCAGAGCTTTTGGGCTAGGGTAGGTGTGTGGGTGTAGGAGAGAACACATACACACGCACAGGCACAAAGTCACAGACAAGAACAAGGAGAGTGAGAAGAAAAGAAGTAAAAGCCAAGCAGGGGCCTGCAAGTACAGTGTGACTCTGGAAATGCTAGAGAGAGAGAGACTTTGCATCTGGTGTTGGCTAAAGAGGCTTGGGAGCTGTATGCTAAGGACTTGTCTGCATTGCTGCAGCTGCAGCACTGTAATGCTTTAGTGAAGACGCTACCTATGCTGACAGGAAGGCTTCTCCGGTTGGTGTGGTGATCCACCTCCTTGAGTGGTGGAAGCTATGGCCATGTCTACGCTACCGGCTAAGTAGGCACTGCTGCAATCGATGCAGCAGTGTTGATTTAGCGGGTCGGGTGGATTCTCCGTCACTGGCAATTTCTAAATCAAGATTTGATGTTTTTTTCTAAAATACTCTTTAGAAATTATTTTGGGGAAGTTCTGTGGCCTTTATTATACAAGAGGTTAGAGTAGATGATCACAGTGGTCCTTTCTGGTCTTGGAATCAATGAATCTTCCTCAGTTGAGGGATGTGGTTTTCTGGGGATCTAGTAAAATGCTCTTAGATAGTTCCTAATGATCATTCACATTTTTCTGTTTCCATTTGCTCCAAAATGACTTAGCTTATAGTTGTTTTCAGTTTTGAGTGCCAGTTGTACAAAGTATGAAAGTGTATGTGTGTGTGTGTGTGTGTGTAATATAAAATAAAAAAAATGTGTGCGGATTATATTCTGATTGCATATAACAAATGTGATCGAGTCATGATTATTTGTTCTTAAGATACCACTAACTTTCAGTTCTGTAATCAGTTCCTCTTTTTGTGTCAAGATGAGGTCTGAAATAGAATTTTGCTATATTGAATGCAGCAATTTTGGAATTAGGAAATTGTCATTTATTATAATTAGAAATTCTGAGGATGTTTCAGTACTGGCAGCATGAGACCTCCAGCCTGTCACTAAGCTTGAAATCCCACATTATAATGCAGCTCTCCCCCAGTCTTATCCCCTATTATGGATAGGGGCTTATGGAGCTGGTCACACTGTTCTAGTGTGATTTGGTGGTTTGTAACAGACACCAGCTAGTACCTCATCTTGTGTTTTATTTGTTAGGACATTGATCTATAAGCATTCAAGATGACTTTCTTCCCAGGTGCCAGTGACTCAGAAACAGGTAATGCCACTCTCTTCCCCTTTTGCCCACTTGATCCTTCCTAAATAGGTTTATAAATGTGGCTAAATGGAAACCAGTAGAAAGTAAGTGGATCCCTGGCTATCAATTGTACAAAAGATGAGCACACACGTGCTACTGCTGTTTCAGATTAATATCTACCTGTGTAAGATTTATCTTTCCCTTAAAAAAGAAAAGATACATTCTAATGATATTTAAAAGCTTTTTATAAATATCTGGTTATCTAAATCTATTCACTGACTGAAAAATGCTCTTGCCACAGACGGACAGAATTAATTACACATCAAACTTCCTTTTCATTTCTAGCTTTGACATATAATATCCCATTCACATTGTATACATAGGACCCTAGATATTTGACTTTTAAAAATACAAATCTGTTACAGAAAAGAGAGCAGGGCTGTATCTTCTTACTTTAGATTTCATCTGACTCATACCCAGGCTCAGAAT